CCTCTTTATAAAAAAGTAAAATAAAAAAGTGTGTTCCTTTTTATGGTATTTGCATCTTGTTTTCCAAATTCATGCGATTCCTTTCTCTCTCCCCCTCACTCTCTAATTTACAACCCCCCCCCTCCTCCCCTCCCTCTTCCGCGCCACGCCGCCGCCGATTCGTTGATCCCCGCGCCGTCAACACGCCGCCGCCGGAGGTACGAACACCGGCGCGCCGCCGCCGGCGATTTCTGACCGGCGCACAGGTCTACTCTGATGAAGCTCGCTTCGACTTTGTGTTTCTCAATCTGGCGTGAATTTGAGCACCGAGAGTTTGGATGATTGACATCTCGTCCCGCGTGACGCCATTCGCGAGAGTCCAATCAGCAGGTTCCGCTCACTTGCGCCCCATCTTTGTGCTTGACGAGTTTAGCGACCCTAATATCTGAACCTCACAAAGATACAAAAATATGCGCACATGATAACACGGTAAAAACGTCATTTCGCTTTTACCTCTAAATTCATCGTATGAGAATGCAACTTTAAGTTTTGTTTCCTTTTAATTTCATGTTTTTTTTTTTGTGGTCTTTTTTTTTTTCAGTACCAGGCGTTGTCTGTTAGTACATATTCGTCGTCATTCCCTTTTTGGGTATAGTGCCTTTCATTTTCGTAGCACCCGACATTTTTCTGAAAGCTGACCTTCAATAGTAACGATAGTCTACAAAAAGACAATTATCGATAGTACTCGATAGTCAACTACCGATAATACTGTTGATAATAGAGAGATACGGTGCAATGGGCCCTCTGGTATACGAACTGCGCATGCGCTACCACAGAAGACTCGCGCATGCGCAGTTCTTACCGGAGGGCCCGTCGTACCGTATCGGACGTGCAACAAACGGTTCCCTAAAACTCCCCAATACTATCGATGGTACACCGATAGTCAACTATCGACAGCACTATGGGTCGCCGACTATCGATAGTTAATTTTCGACATAATCGATAGCTTTCGTAAAACTCTCGAGAGTATATCGATAGTCAAGTTTACGATAGTTTTGCGTCACTACTGCGTCAGTATCGTCGACGGCGCGCCTTGCAGCGTCTCGCAACACTTCGCGACGCTAGCACGCGTCTGCCCTTTTGCAGCGTCTCTCGTGGAGCTTGTGTGTGCCGCCTGGGGCGGGTCAGAGAGCCACTAAAGATGACGTCGTGCACAGGCCTTGCCTTTCTTGGGTGATATTGGTGTAAGTCGGAGAATAAACGCCGCAAATGGAAGGGATTCAAGCGTGTCCTTGCGCCCCAGCCCGGACCGACCCAGCAGTCTTGAGGATGACCCGAAGCTCTGGAGCGGTAATATGTGTCCTTCGTCTCATCCCTGGCTGAGTTTAGGAGGTTAGGTTAGACGGCTATGGGCGTTCGAGCCAAGTCGGGCGGCACTGATCCCTCGGTCCTTTCTTTCGGTGGTTCAGTCAGCGCGGTCTTGGGCTGTCCTTTTGACCCTAGCTGTGATTGCGGTTTATGTTTCCGAACAAACGGGTTAATGAGGACGAGACACTTCTTCCTTCAGGCAAGACATGGGCGTTTTAGACGAAAGTGGAGCACAATCAGTGTTCCTTGCGTTGGTTAGAATTATCTTTTTTTTTCTTTTGTACGTTTACCGCTTATGTTTCTTTTGATAAACGGTTTGCAGGTCGCACCATTTGCTTCTTGTCGGACATTTTTGTCCATATTGTCTTTAAGGGTAAACGGCTCTTATGTGCTACGATAACATAAATTTCGAGTTTTTTAAGCGCGGTTTAAGGTAGGATCTTAAGCTAGAAAAGATGGAATCGTGAAACCAATATTGACTGAAACATCTCTCGTATAAAATTTGTATTTTTATCCTCATCTCTAAGCTATAATCTCGTGAACTGGTCACTACTTATAAGCATTTTCTCTTAGCTCCGATATCAATGCATATGAGAGTTCATTCAGTTGCTATTAATTAGCTCCTAAACGATGCAGTGGTACGTATGGTTACTTTGCGTCTTCTTTAAACGTGGTCTTTGGTGGTCCTTAAGGGCGAGACACATGGACGGCAGAATCGTCCGATCCGACGTCCGATCCGACAGTCCGAACGCCGCTCCGAATTGCCGCACGCGACAGGAGACACACGCTTCAGACCTGCGACACGACGATCCGTTCGGCTCCGCCCAGGAGACCCCAGCACTCCAGCGGAGGTTCGCGTTCATAGATCTCTGGTCCCAGATCGACGGTTTAGCTTGCACGAGTGAAGTTAGGAGCTCGTTCTCGCTAGCGCGTGCATTCTCTGCCGGGGCCATCTATTTCGAATCGGTCAGCGGGATCCACGCGTCCGGCTTCCCGTCGCCCGTCCCGTTCTCTTGTTCGTCCCGCCAGACCCAGTACGTCTTCATGACGTTCGCGCTAGCTGTGCTGTCATTGGCTGGACGCATCCGACAATCCGTCCGCCGTGCGAAACTATCTGGCGCGTTGGACGCACGTCGGATCGCCGATCCGACGTCTGATGCGACCAAATTTTTCGGATCAGGCAGTCGTATTGCCGGATCGGACGTCGGATCGGATGGATTTTTCGCGCATGTGTCTCGCGCTTATGTCTGAAAGTGGACTGCGATAGCCTACACCAAAGTTACAAACATATTTTTTTCGTTAACTCGCCTAGGTGCGACGTCGCATCTTTTCGTAGATGCCAAATGGAAAGTAAGAATAATATTTATTTTCTAGCGTATTAACTGAATCGATTGAACTCATATTGAAAGATTTTGACTTACCGACATGTATGATTGAACATTTTATGTAGATTTTAAATGAACCAGCTCCAACGTTCAGTCGCGTGGAAATTGTTGCGCGTGCTGGAACATCTGGGGTGCAATTGCAGATGCTCAAGACACAATTCGATGTTTGCCGTGCAAGGACAATTAAAGTGTCCCGTTGTTTCTAGAAAGTACAACGTATGGATTTACTTGTCGCTCATTTCCGAATTCTGCAAATTTGTAACGAACAAAATTTAAGTGACTTATCAAGGATCTTATTTTCTATAATACAGGTGCTTACGGGCTTATATACATCGCTGCTCTTGTTTTTAATGAAATCTCTTCTAATAAGCGATAACAAAATGATAAAACTTTATCTCGCAATATGACCCGATTTTTAAACATGAATAAAGTTTAGGGTGCTGCTGAGAGTCTGCGCGACTAATCAAACATCTTTGACTGCAAAAAAAATAAAAAAATGGCGATGTGCAGTGCCAATTAATATGCGTGCGTTATAGCGTAAATCAGCTCGGATAATCGTCTACTGCGTTTTTAGTTTGTGTGTCAGTGTTTCTGCTGGTCCTAGCTTCAGACTGACCAAAACTCAAATAGTTGCGCAGAATGAGGAATCTTCGAATAACATATATCATGCATCATCACTTCGGGCTTAAAAACACGTACAAAATAAAGATACTTATTGGTTGGCTTTGAAGTGACGCAGCCAAGTTTTCTCTAAATTTCCTATTTACTGAGTTATTCTTTTTAGGTTATTACGGGACAATGTTTAAGGGTTACAATCATTAGAATAGGGCGTTCTTAGAAATGAAACACCGAGACTCTTTATATCAATTCCGACATTTTGCAAAAGAAGCGGTATACTGGAGCTGATGCTTATTGCAATCCTAGCGTGCTCTCTCGCAGCCGCCGACTTCCTATCCGTGAGGCACTTCCTCATTCGTCAAGAATCTCTTCTTGATCGTTGACCAACGGCCTAATGACCGATAGCAGACGAATTTGATGCCTTTGACACGTTTGTCCTCTTCTTCGCGAAAACGCCCATGCTTGAGCCTTCTTAAGCGATAAAAGAGCTATTAGAAATGGCTGAACTTCATTCAATCACTACGTATTTAACATGCTTAACAGAAGATGCAGATGTTTTTGTAAAGCTCACGAACAGATACATGACAATTACATGCATACACATTATTATGCATCTCTGTATGTGTGTTTATGTGTATGTGCCGTATGTATACTCAATATGTATTTATTAATAGTGAGAGAGCAGTCAAGATATTTTTTGCAAAAGAGTAGTAGTAGTAGAAGGAGGAGAGTAGCACTGAGGAGGAGGAGGATGATGAAAGATGTCTCCCGCAAAAATACGCGTGTCTGGAGCTAGTCAGATGTGCAGAAATCGGGAACTTTTTGAGATCAAAGTAGAAGTTAAATACTTCAATTCCTGATTCTTGCACGGTGGAAAGAAAAGTAAAAATGTCCAGAAATGTTACATCTGGAACAGGCCTTTCGCTATATGTCGAGTGGACAATTCGAGGATGTCTAAAGTCAAGTGATGATGTAACACGGTCAACCAGAAAGGTCGTTCGCCGACAATGCAAACAAACCGCTTTTGTGGGCATTTTAACATGTGAGAGTAAGACTGCACGGTGAGCTCACGCGTCGCCATATCGCAGCTGAGTACGGCGTGCGTAGAGTTGAGCTGAAAGAGATGTGTGGTGGGGCCGTGTTGATTCACTGCTTCGCCCAATGTAAAGTAGCAATTTGGCGCAAGGGTAGAAATCACGCGCTGCTGTTATTTATGATCTCGGCACCCAAATAGTTTGTTGATCGCAACGCGCACATTTGGCCCGTCTTTTCGCTCCCCCCTCCCTTTCTTTTCCTCCCCCCACACAGTCTCCTTACAAAACCGGAACAGGAACCATCCCATACTCTAAACCCTCTCATTCGAGCACCCTTTTCCACACCTGTACCTTCCTCTCAGCTGAGCCGCTCTCCCACACCCAAAAAACGATGCCTCCTTTCCCCCTTTCCTTGGGCTTGTATTCGAGAAAAGTAGAGAGAGGGGACAGGTAAGGTAAAAGGGAAAGGGCGCTGGAAACAACTCCGAGGAACATTTCCGAGTAGCCTGAGAAGCGGGTCCCTCCTCCACGCATCGCCCTCCGCCGTTCTCCCCCTCTTCCTTCTCGAAAGACCGGCGTTTATCTGGACGTCCCCCTCGCCCATTCCAAAAGCGGCCTCTCTCACCTGCCGGGCAAGCAAGCAGACGACGCAAAGCCGAAGGGAGAATTCCTTTCGCGAGCGGCAAGCGAGGCAGACGTGTAGCAGGGGCCGCCGTTCAAGTCGTCGTTCTTCCAACGATGCAGCGCGCTTCACCGACCGTGTCGATCATCGTCAACGGGTCACCGGTGCCGCTCAACGAGGCTCCGGTTGTGAACCCCTCTGTGACGTCTCTCGTGACCCCCGTTGTGACACCGGAGCATCGAGAACAACAGCCGCAGACGACGACACCGGGCGTTCCGCACGTTGTGAGGGTGTCCGTTGGAATACCGTCTGCTCCAGAGCCGGATGAGCGCAGCAGCAGCGGAGCTTCCAGCGGCACCGGCAGTGATGACGAGGCCCCCTACGACTCGGACTCCGGTGCCGAGATGAAGTTCCACCTGCGCGAGCTTGAGGATACCAGGGACGACGAGGACGGGAGCTCCGGGAAGACGTCCCTCGAGGGACCCGTTCTGGATGCCGAACTAGCCATCCTCTCCAGGCAGGGAACGGTGCGCGGAGTCCGGAATCTCGTCAGGGCGTCCATCAAGTGCATCGCTGACTGCCAGGAGGGCAAGGTGAGTCTGCTGCTGAACACGGCCAACATAGATAACCCCAGTGTTGTCATGGAGATGCATCCAGGATGGTCGCGCGTCAGTGAACGTACTACAGCGTGTTTCTCTTACTGGAGATGAACGGTTTTAGGTAGCATTTTCCGAGGAGAACCTAATCATGGACGCCTCAGTGTTTAGCTACGATCTTAAGAGGTCGTAACAAAAGATGGGATGCCGCTCTTATTCTTTCCGGGTGTTCCTTTTTAAGTTCTTCAATATGCAAAGAACTTCAATCCTTCGGGCATCACAACATAGACACCACATTTCGCAAAATCGCGCAATCTCATTTCATCGCGACGTTCAGCATTTTTTAAAGCTGCACCTCTCTTTTTAATATGCTAAAATTAAGGTGGAACCATGTTGACGGGCAGTGCGATCTGTTTTTATTAAACAGTACACGTGGTTACTGGAACGAAAAACGAAACCTCATGCATGGAAAACGCTAATTGTAGCAACCAAGACACCAAGCGCAGTAAGCTACAAAAGAAAAAAAAAAAAAAAAAACAGTATTAACCTTGAGATGGCAACAAGTGAAGGGGGACCTCTTGAGATATTTTCTCCCGCGGAAGGTTTTTAAGTGACTGTTTCAAACCGGTAAACACTTAGTTATACCGTGCACAATCTGAAATAATTGAGGTTGGTATTCCATAAGTAAAATACTAATCAAATGTACACTTCGAAAAAGGAGTGAAGACGAACACAAAATGATTCTTCAGTGTTGAGAACATTTCTTCAGAAGGAAAAGATTTCGCGTGTGCTCTAGGACTTTTCTTTTTTTTTTTTCAGGGCGGCTGTTTTTTTATTAGCTTTTACTAGATCGAGGGTAATTTTGAACTGATCAGCTGTCCAGCATCCGCACTTACAGTGATTGATGCTTGACAGAATTTGTAACATTTTATATAACAGCTAGATAAACAACCATTTCTAGATCGACATTTTATTGACTAAATCCTAAACAAGAACAAAGTTATACAAACTGCGTATATTTAGCCACCAGGACGTATCACTCCGTTCTTGTTTGGAATTGACGCGAAGCGACACACGTCGGGCAGTTCTTGAAAAGCCATGTCGTCTTGTTTTTTGTCCCTTAATCTTCATTTTAATGGAGATCACAGGAAGAACAATATTTTTTTTGCTAAATCAAAGCGACCCTATCGTGTTCCGTGTAAAGCATCTTGGGGGGACCCTCGGCCACAGTTTCGGTCTCGATTAGCAAATCTCACTTCGCGACATCCCGTCACGACCTAATACAGGGTTTCCATTGGGGCTGGGCGTCGAAAAACATTTTGGCCCGATTAATCGGCACCTTTTAATCGATTATTGGGTCTCGTTCATTTGCACGCATAATAATTTTAAGCAGACAAAGATTGTTTTTTCTGCTGCATGAGCACTGCAGCACATAATGCGGAGAGTACGTCGCCTACTTCTTGCTCAAAAGTTACGGTGACGTGAGATCGGCGCCGAGGTCTTGTTGGCTGATTGAAACAAATAGTGGGTAGACCACGAAGCATCTAACATTAAGATCTACCCACTATTTTTTTACAGTCGACCAATCAGAGCTCGGCGTCGTTCTGACGTCACCGCAATTCCTGCGCAAGAAGCAGTCGACTTGCACTCCGCATAGAATTTCGATTCTGAATCAACATCGATGTGCAGTTGAAAACAATCGAAAGACACTCGCAGCTGATTACTTCAGCTGCATGAAGCGAAGAAGTTCGTTGTTATTCTCCGGCAAGAGCGACCTCTCTAGATTGTTCACAATAGTCTCTGCTGAACTAAACGCCTAGTGTAACCTCGCTCCTGCAGTTTACTTTAGGTTAGACTCTTACCTTAAGTTTGCCCTTGAAATATGTACTTGTCCACCGTCTACGTGGTTAAAGTGTTTAATTTTTGGTTCGTCAGAATTTTACCGATTAACCGGTTAATTTTTTTTATTATTTTATCGCGATTAAAGCAATAATTGATTGATCGGCAGGTTAATCGATCAATTGTTCACCCCTAGTTGGCATTTTCGAATATGTGACCTTCCTTAAATTCATAATACTGTAGGTGTGGCCTACCAATTAAAAAAAAAAAAAAAGCAAAAGCATATTTTTTTTTTTTTTTTTGGGGGGGGGGGGGGGGTTACGTGTTAGGGTCTATGCACAGGTAAACAGGGCTCCGAAGGTACGGAGGTAAACAGGGTTACGTATTCTTACTCCAAGCTAAGTCTAGGCAGGTCCTTACGGCCCCTGGTTGTCCGTGTTTCAACGGACGCTCTCACGGAGATATATGGCTGCAATGCCAGCGAGCGCTGACTCTATATTTTCATGTAGTGCTGAGCTGCTCTACTTCGTCTATCGAAATCGAAACCCTGTCACTCTTCTCTACGGTCAAAGCGGTCCCATGATGCAACGCGCGCAGTGATGCGTGCCGGGATTTTTGTAAGTAGTCTATTTTCAATGATATAATATCACGTGCAAATTGAGCGACACTTGGCGCGAACTCAACGTCGGCGGTTTTTCGCCTTTTACCTCGAAAGGTTAGTAGCGATAACCAGACGTTTCCGCTAAATATAACAAATCGGCGATTGTTTGCTCGTACTTACAGTGTCTCGTTGTGTACATTGAGTACTTTGATTAGAAACGTCCATGCTTTAAAATTGCCTCAAAACAAAGCCACCGTAATTCTTGTTTTCGTAACCTAATACATTGCCTATGCGATTAAATAAGTAATACACAAATGTGGGAATAAATTTTGAAGACTTCTTTTTCATCGGAATCATATGTCCGCCAGAAGTCGGGACAGTCGTTCTCGCTTGTCGGCTCTGAAACTTTTAGTTCACTATTTCCTCCGATCCTTACTTATTATTTTAAACTATTCTGTCGCATAGAAAAGATCTTCTTAGTTAACTTTAGAAGTATCATGAAGTAGGAGACGATCGGTGCTCATGCACGATACCATTTTAATGATGAAAGCTGACGCACCCTCATGCTTTCGTTCGTTGTTGTTGGTCGTTTTTTTCCTACTACGAGATGTTGCATCTCGCGTCTGCATAGGTGGGCATCATATTTGCATGAAGCCGCTTTACTCCAAGTGCGTGGTTGCAATCCAAGGGCGTTTCATTGAAGCCGCGGCTGTCAAGGGAACTCTGCGAGGGGAAACTCCGTCCTCCCTTTCAAAGGCATCTCGCCCAGGCACTGCCGTTCTTTTCCCCTAAGGTCGCGTCACGAGCTTCAGCACTCCAGAAGAAGCGAGGAAACCGGTCCGTCGAGAATGCCTTAACATTATTTCAAAATGTGCGAAGAAATCTCACCGAGGCACCGTCGTTTAAATTATGTCCTTCATGCGTTCAATCCGTTTTCTTTGTACGTTTTGTTTTTCTTCGAGTTTTCCCGAACCTTCGTGATCAAAATTTAGAATGCGAAACATTCCGATCAGTCGACGAGGTTCTAACGAATCTATTAGTTAGAGTTTTATCTAAAAGACAATCAGTGCAATGACCGCAGCTAACTTTCAAACTGTGAAAAAGAAGAAAACAAAAAAAACACAAAAAAACGGCAAGATCGAGGAACGCTTTATCACTCTCACATGCGCGTTGGCAAGTAACATATGATCCTCTCGTGCCGTTTAAATATTTGGCGGCGCATTTCTTTTAACTGAACTCGACATCTGGAATCGGGTCTCACTCTTACCCGATTCGCTAACCCATACACGCTACAGGTCCACACAGTTCCGAAACTCTTCCAGCCAAGGTACGTTTTCAAATATACACTATTTATCCACCAACGTGACTATACGTTTTTCTTTTGTTTTTTTTCCTTCGCTAGTTCTCGGCAGTCGAAATTACTTTCATCGATATCACCCGCATGACGCTCTTCGCCGATTCATTTCTCAGCCGCGGATTTCTTCGCCCGCCGGTCGCTCGGGGGGCAGGCATACGAGCTCTAGCGAAAAAACACATCCTTGGAAGTTATGTTGATCAGAAACGGGAAAAACGTGTTTATCCCGACTGGCTTCCGCGAAAGCGATCCGCCGGCGTGAATTAGGCTATAGGCCCGAGGTTTATTCCATCGCTTGCACTCCGCTCTCGACCTTCGTCGTTCGCGGCCCGCATCACCGCTGCATGCGCACGCCGGAGGCGTACGTATACCCAGTCCCCGGCGGCTCTCTCCAGTGTTTTTTGTCCGGGTCTATACGCCACGTATATGTACAGTCCCGAAGTTCAGCGTACACGACGGGATCAGAGCCGTGGCACACTTGAACGCACCCGCGCGCGCCGACAGTCAGTTCGACAATGGAACAATTTGAGCAATTCGCTGATCAACCCACATACCAGCTGTCACGCATACCGTCTCTCCACTCTGTTACGCTATACCCTGGGATATGTATGTCAGATTTCGGACGTCTCTAACTTCACTACCCGTCAAGATATAAAGATTATTTTTTCTTTTTTTTTTTTCGACTAGTGAAGCGCAACCACATGGAATAGTTCCTCCAATATTCGCACTTTTCTATTACTACACTTAGTACAAAAGCGGCGGGTTTTCATAATTTTCCATTACTACATTATTCAGTACCCACTGAATAATGAAGTAATAATAATATGTAATAATAAGAAGCACACCAGAAAGTCCCGACAGCCATTCTAGTGTGCTTCTTTTTAGGAATATCTCTAATCCCGTTGGGAAGCGACTGTTGTCCATGGCGTGGCTCCCAGTGTGAATCCGATCGTCACACGGATTCTAGTGACACGCCGTACGCAGCTCTGCGCAATTTGTTACCGAAGACTATAAACGCTAAAAGTAGCGCTTAATGTGTCACGTTCGGCTGTACAAATACAGTATAGACCGATCTCTAGTTAATGCGTGTTCTTGCGCTATGTGTTCGACTTTGTACACAAACGTAAACATCCCTCTGTTGCCGATATATATATATATATATATATATATATATATATATATATATATATTGTTACGTTTTTA